TTTGTAGTTTCAGCACTGATTAGAAAGGGCTCTTTAGAGAACTCCCAAATCTGCTTTCAGATTGAAAATCCATCACATTTGAAGAAAGTTATAACCATTTGAATATTTGTTCAAATTTCAACAGTACATAAGTTGCTCCAAAGCCAAAGCAAAAGATCGATCAATAACAGCTGGCTTACAAGGCTTTTTTCAACTGAAAAACGTGTAAATTGAATTGATGAGAACCGTTCTCTGTGTCGTACTAAAAATTGTTAAGTCTTGCGAGGAAATAAATAGAGAAGAGATGTTGTCGTGGTATGTCATTTTTAGTGGCTAGTTTGTCGTTTTTTGCTCCGTTTCTCGTTTGCTCGATTGGTAGAGCTCATCAATAAAGATCATTCTTTGACTTTTCACTTTTGCACTTCTTGAACGAATTTTCTGGTGGACGGTGGGGTAGCAGGGCTTTTTTGCGAACGTTTTTGGGAGAGAATTGAACAACCTTTTCATAGGGCTTTTGAAGAGGGTCGTTTCATGGACTTCGGCCTTCGGGGGAGGGAGAGGAGGGGGCTCGTATTTCCAGTTTTTCCTTAACGTTTCGCTTGACCCTGCTCTAATCGTTGCTGCCGTTCTCAACGCCGACGTCTTTTTTCTGCTATATGGAGATAGTCAAACGGCGGAGGCATGCACATCGGAGGTGTGGCGCGGTCTCGGCGTTAGCGGTGCGGGTATTACTTTGCTGGGCCGCTGGGGCGTGTACTCTTCGCCGCGAAACGCGCATTATTCCGCACCTTTGGAAGCCCGTCTGCCTTTCGACCATATATATTTCTTCTTCCTCGGTTTCTGATCTTATTGTGGATCCTCCTTTAACACGTTGACAACAGGACGATACGCTCGTGTGCGTCACCGTGCGTCGGACACTCTGGCGCGCATGCGCGTCAGCATCTTGGTACGCCCTTTTCCCGCACATGTCCAGTTTTTTTTTCGAAATTTTTTGTTACCATTCTATAGACAATACATTATCATGCCTTTTGTGAATGAGGTGGTTCATGGAGGATTAAATACGCTGTCATAATATATTAAGTAAAGGTTTTCTAAACCTCACTAAATTTTCAGTTTGATTCAATCTTCGACTTTTATTCCGGAGTAAACTGGCAAATAAAAATTAATGTATAAATGCAAACTACACAACCACACAATAATATCAAGGAATTCATTCGTGTTTTTTACTGAGCAGTCTACACAAAAGACTTTTCCATATTTACTGCAGCGTGGGTTGACCCTTTTTGAATTTTGAGACCGCAAAGAGGTCCTTGTTCTTAGGACATGCTAGTTGGTAACATTCTAGACATTTCCTCCAGTTAATTTCTTTTGAGCCTTTAGCTACTTCTTTTGACGCATGTCTTTTATTGCCGTAAAGCATCGCGGTTTCTGTGACGTCTGTGTTCTCTGAACGGCCCTTGAAAAACCAAGGAAGGCTATTAATCTGCGCTGCATCGCACCGATATACGCATCAGGTTTCCAAGGTGAACAGCCTCTAGACGATAGAATAATATAGATAAGGGAAGTCGGCAAATTGGATCTTTTCTCTGGATCAGATCGCATTTGGTCAGAGCAGTTGGCTGTTGCGAAGTCCACAATAGCTCTTAGGTTTACCACGCTGCTAAATAGCATCAAACGCGGTGACACCATCCCAAAAGATTTGACAAGCGCTCATGTGAAACTGTTGTTCAAGAAGGGTAACTCCAGTGATGTGAACAACTTCGAGCTATACCTCCGGTATAAGAGGTCCTAAATCTATCACACGAGTTATCCTTAGTCGCATAGAAAAACGTCTAGAAGAGACAGAGGGCTCAAGTCAGGTTGGATTCAAAAGGAAACATCCCACTCTCAACCACATCCATGTCCTCAATGAATTCGCTCAAAAGAACACTAAATATAACTTCCCTGTCTATTTTGTTCTCGTCGACTACGAAAAAGCATTTGATAGCCCGGAGAGGTCCGCAGTATGGACGGCACTTGCAAAAAGAGGTGTACATTAAGAACTGATAGGAATATTGCAGATATTTTACGGCTCTTCTTTCACGTCCCTTCTCGTCAACTCTCCCAGTCCAAGTAACCATTAAAAGAGGCGTCAAACAAGGACACACGCGCGAGTCCAAAACACTTTAGTGCCACCTTACAGATGGTTCTCGATTCTATAAACTGGGGGCGCGGATTAAGGATTGGAGGTACCAGTTTTGAGTATGCACATGACATTACGCTACTGGCTTCATAGCATTCTGTGCTCGAAGAAATGCCACAACTTCTGATGAATGCATCCGCTAAGGTCGGACTTCTGCTTAAGCCTGAAAAGTCCGTTATAAATTAGCCTAGAACATCCAGGCACCCAATCTAATTTTATGGAAAGACATTCAGCTTTGTTGATCACGCCCTTTACCTTGGCTGCCTTTTCTCATCCCTGCAATGCTTTCAGAAATATATCGAGTATATCTTTTGCAACCGGGCCGTTTCCCTCACTCAAGAAACGAGAATTCGAGTCATGTGTTACGTCATCAGTGTTTTATGGAGCGGAAACCTGGACCAAGTCGTATATGGCAAACTTGGCATAACGCAAAGGAAGATGGAAGGGAAAATGCTAAATTTGATCGTGCTGGATCGGTGGAGTATTAAAGAATAAGATCACTTACGAAGCTCGGCGACTGGACAAAGGAAGCGAGTTAAAAGAAAATACTGTGGGCCAAAAAGGTACGTGAAATGGACGAAAACGAGTGGGCTTGCAAGATAACGACATGGATTCCATACGATTACGTCAAGCAAAGAAGAAGAGGACATCCTTACATCCTATGGCGCGACGACTCGAGGAAACAGATTGGGCAGAACTGTTGGAGTATTACAGATGAAGAATACAGACAAGCCATGATATGGCATTGGAATATGGTATGATTAACTTTTGAAATGACCAACAGAACTATGGAAACTCATGAAACTTTCATATATGTTGCATGAGAAGCACCTGTTCAGCTGCGACGCTCGACGTTCAGCTGTGATTAAATCACTTCCACTTTAAAGTCATTCATCCGAAGAGATAGTGCGACCATACGCATTCCAGCGATTCATGCATGCCACACGAATCGCCCGACCCTATCCCCTTCCTTATCCCCGAACTGTATACTCCCCCACAGTCACGGATTCCCCGTTTTTTTTGCTGATGTCATAATTAGTACTTCGCTGAGAGGGTGCAGAAAAGCAGCGCGTCTCCGCCGAAAGCCCCTTCTCCCCTACTAGCGTTGTACTACTGTTTTGCTACATGTCAGTTTTGAGATCCGGAAAACGCACTTTGTGAGAAAAGCCGACGCGCTTGCGCATCAGGCAAATCGTGTCCGCCAATTTGCTTATGCCCCACCCGGCGAAAAAGCCAAAACCTACGTTGTCGTCAACGTACTGAAGATATGCCCCAGGACCAAATTATTGTGATTTTTGCACATGAATGCGAATGTGTTGGTAGGCAAAGGGAGGAGTAAGAAAAAAGGACCGTGGTAACGCTTAGGTTAAAATCATTAAGATTATTCGAAGATCTGTGCGAAGATGCGCTGAACTCCAGCTTGCTCAATCCGTCGTTTGGTCGCTGAGACTGATGCGAGCGCACTTCCTTGCGAAGCCTTTTTTGCAAAAACCTTACATGGAAGTTTTGCAAGCATAAAATGCCTAACGATAAGATCTGACCGATGCGTGGAAATTGAAAAGAAAGCAATGATGCTTGAAGAGATTTTCTCGACTCCGTAATGAGCTTCCTTTATGGATTGCTTCCTCTGAAGAGAAGATATTCTGCCGTCTTGAATAAGAAGGAGCAGCTGAATTAATGCTGGTGAAAAGCCAACAACCATCCAGTGATGGTTTTCGCAAAAATCACAAGAGCAGTGACGATTAGAACACACCTCAGACATCTGCTGCTCAAGATATAGCCATAGTAATCGTCTCGAACTCCCTCTGTCTCCGCCGAAGCTTCAAAACGAAAGGACCGTCAACAACAAATACAGAACATCAGAGCAATATTAGTCACCCACCCACAATGCAATGCAGAGACCATCCAAAAATGGATTTTCATGTTTTTGTTTTTTAACTGCAGTTTTTGCCGCAGTTCGCCTTGCGAGTTTTTCACAAGAACGCTGGGTTGTGAAGAAAACTCCTCCCTAGACGGCACAAAATTAACTGTATTAAGTGTGTCGAAGGTAAAGCATTGCTACAAGCATAATACGAACGTCGACTAGTTCAGCAGTGGCTCTTGAAATCCTTGGACCTACTCGACAACACCTAGCTACACAGCAGAGTCGACGGCTTTCTAGGAAGTCTTCGTTTATTTATCAACGGAGAAAGCGTCCGCTTCAGAGAGAGATATTATTTTCTGTTCCGTAATTTTCCACCAATATGCTGATATTGCTAATTTGGGACTTCTCGACAGCATTCCTTTTTTATGACCAATTTATGTTGTTATCGTGATTTTTTCTCTGTACATGTATGTGTACGTGTGTGAGAGCCGATGGTTAGTACTTCAGGGGCAGTGGCGCTTTATCAATGTAGCCACTGCCCCTGAAGTGTCAGTGTCTCCTTCTGTGAAAAAATTGGTGAACTTCAATTTTCCAACAGCTTTTATGCAGAGGAGAAGGTTTGAAAAGCTGGCGTTCAGGTAGAGAAGATCGTCGGCAACAAGGGGCTTACCGTGCTTTTGAATAACGCCGGTGCTTTCGTGAAATATACCACAAAACAGGAACCTAATCGTGCTGATATTATCAAAAACTTCAATATCAACGCAGCCAGTGTAGCTGTCGTCACGCAGGTTAGGGTTCGGTATCTCTTTGCATTTGTCAACGTTGAAAATTTCTTGTTCATAGGTATTCCTACCGTTGCTACGTAAAGCCGCCGAACATGGTGTCTCAGACGAGTTCTCCGTGGATCGTTCGGCCATTATCAACATTTCATCTGGACTTGGATCGATCGCTAACAATACTACGGGTTCGGAAGACATGGGAATTCTTGCCTATAGAATAAGCAAGGTGAGCAGATCTTGCTAAATCATCCAGTTCCATACTCCTAGTTTTTTTTTCTTCAGTCTGCATTAAACTCCTTGGCGAAGACGGTAGCAATCGATTTGGAACCGGAACATATCCTTGTGGCCTCATTTTGCCCAGGTTGGGTACAAACCGACATGGGAGGGCCGAAGGCCCATCTCACTGTAAGTTTGTTGACTTAGAATTTCCCCGATCGGTGTTCCCTCCACTTATCCCTTTCGAGCAGTTTTTACGAATGGCTGTATTCACATAACATTTTGTAATTGAAATATAAACTATCCTAAAGTTAGGTAATTCCGCCTAAAAATCTTTCTGCATAACGAGGAGACTACCAGTATTGAGCGTGCGATGTTCATACAGGGAGGGGGGAGGGGCAATAAAAAAAAGACATTTTGTCACCAGACTCAACGGATTTAGTCACTGAATGCGCCCGAAGCGCGCGCTGCAACGTAAAGCTGGAGCCGTAGGTACAGCGGATCTATTCCAGAGAGAAAAAATTTCAACCATGACAAAAAACATAAGTCAATTCCTGAGAGTATCCAGTTTTCCTCTCGAAGCAGTGGATAAGGTTCGAAGTGTAGAGAAACCAAGGCATGAAGTACCTCATCCTGCGCTCGCCGAAATGAAAACCATTCATAACTCTCAAAAAAGAGCGAAAGACTTGAATTCAAGAGAAAAAACGAAAAAGCAAAGGATAAGCAAAGAGATAAGACAAGAGAGCCTTTAAGACCGGAGGTTCATATTATTACTCTCAGTCTATTTAAACGACTTGAAAGTGAAACAATTTAGAAAATCGCTATATCACTTCGAACTTGTTGGACAATCCCGCGATGTAGGAAGGTGGCTACTAATGCTTCAAAAGTTCATCCTGTTTTTGCTCGCCCTTTATTATTTAGCTTTTGTTTCTGTTTTGGGATCTATAGCATTGTGGTAAAGAGCGTCCAGCGCTTTTGGAATTCACGGCAAACCCTTTGTTCTATTGTGAAGGTTTGAACTAAGTTTTCGAAGGAGGGATTTTGTTATTCGGGAGCGATTTTGGCTTTTCCCAGAGTCCCTCCCTTCCCTTGGCCCAGTCCTCCGAAAACCTATTCTCCGAGACACAGCTGCTTTTTACCACCATCAATTACAAGAACCTGTGTAAGTATAGAAAACCAAAGAGTTGGTGTACGAATGAAGCTGTAGTAGTCCGGAGCTCACATGAAAAAAACCGGAATTGAAGCGGACTTTCGCTCCGCCCCTCTTATAGCATACATCCCGTTTTGTTTGTAAATTTAAAAATTGATGTGAAACCTTTTCAAACAAAAGGGAGCGATCAGAAAGCGTGCGTCTCCTCAAAGTTGAAAGCAAGCTATGTGGTTTTGGGATATTTCCAGGTGGAACAATTTATTCAGCAGTGCAATATTTTGGGGTAATCGTTTTCTTCAGAGACTCAAATCCCGTTTATTTGAATTTAGTCACCACCTTCAGCCCACAATACCAAGATTACTGCTGCCTTTACGTGGTCCTATTTTTCCTGTAGGATTGGTCTAACAAACTGATAGATAATGATGCACTCGTTCAGATTGACCAGTCAGTAACGCAACTCCTGAAGTCTTTTTCGCAACTAAACAAAAACCATCATGGCGGATATTTCAATAAGGAGCTCGAACCTATCCCATATTAGTACCAATATGTGTTATGTATTGAATCCTTGTTCATTGTTTGTAAGTTGTTATTGCTTGATAAGAACATTCATAGCTGTGAACGAAGTTGGAAGGATCGACGAACCACAAACAATGCAAAGCAAAACAATGGAGACAACCGAGCACAGTTCGAATTTCGCATTTTTGAACTTTGTGTGGATTGTTACTACCGGTCGAAGTGACACAGAATTCAATACAGATTTCAACGATCATACTAACTAGCATATCGACTGGGCGTCGTATACTGCTGTACGCCGAACATGCATTTGAACCCGCCACTTTCCAAGTAGTGGTCGGGTGCTTGGCCCATCTCCACGCCTTCACTCGTTTGAACTGTGAACGTTAGAAAGCTCGAATGATCATTGAACCCTTTCCTAGAGTTTGCTTAAGTCAACCTTCCGCTCCCTAAGTAACAGCCAAATCTGCCATTATATGGTGTGTTGTTGTTAATATTTCAAGCATTTGTGTACAAGTGCAACAATGAGTCGGCGCTGGTCCACGTATCCAGCCAAGTAAGTGTCACTTTTTTTTAAANACTCGAAGTAGATCCACCCTTCAATCAAAATTATGGGTTATAATGTTGTCCAAGATTATAAACTTTCTCGGCATAACTATGAAATTTGGAATTGTTTCGACATAAGCTTAAAAACTAAGAAGGTGGGACAATTTTCAAAGCTTCTTAGTTTCTTTGTTTGTGATCGAATAGCTTCCAAATTTCGCTATAATGATACTTATACGCTCACAAGTAATAAACAATAGCTAGAAGAAACATTTCTCCACGGGAAAAAATTCAGGTCCGAAAGGGTTAAACGCCATTCGCATAAGACAGATCAGTCCAAACTTCAGACAAAGGCTTTAGGGGTGCAATACAACTGGGGCGGGCACACCGACTTTTGGATACGGTGCGTGCGGACTGTTCTCCGCTGCTGTGGTGTCACGAGAATCGAGGGAGTTCTTGAGCCAGAGGATGTAGCAAAAGTGGGGGGGGGGGTGGGAGGTGAGGGCAGCCACTTGTCCATAAAATCGGCGTGCCCGTCCTACTTGTATTGAACCGCTTCAGATCCAAGAACATGAAGAGTCAATTAGGTCAGTGTAGGAGCTGTCGTGTTTCAAAAACTGCTATCACGTAATTCATGATTCCTCTGTGGGTGGGTCAATATCAGTATTATGGGTCGATGAACGATGTACTTTGATCCTCAATGGGGTACAATGGATCCGAGGAGCCGATCCGATCGACCGGGCCTACTTCGGAGTTTATTGTTGCTGTCGCGTTGTTTGTTTACCGTTTCCATTGGAATTTGTTTGATTGCCCAAATTTGATGTTTCGAATCTTCGGTTCTTGGTGCGCACTACGCCACACCAGCGTATGTCTTACTATCATGTTCTCATAGCTGTCATGCAATCGTATCAATTTATATTCTTGCCATGCGTCGTTCTTTCAAGCTCTTGAACTCTGAGTTCTATGAAAAGAATGTGCAGCATAGTACTAATTGCATAATAATAGACCGATTCGAAATGGCAAAAAATACCTACTAGGTCGTTCCAACGGCGAGATTGGTGTAACTGCAAGTGACTTTGCTTACTGCACGCACGGATCAGAGATCAAACCAAAATCGACGCCCAGACCCACCAAGGACTCGTCTTCTATCTCTCACGGGTCGTATAATCGGTACCAGACTTGTGGATGCAGTTATATTATCTCTAACAAATATTTCCTGAAGGATAAAAACCCTTGACTAGTACATCGACTGGCCCACGTCATTGTGTAGGCCAAATCGTTCCCATTTTGCGGCTAGTAGAGTTAGTGGCGCATCCCAGGAAGGGGATCAATTGAAGCCGAATGCTTACCTTTTTTTATTAATCTGTGGTCATTTCGGCCCAGTTGTGATTGTTAACATCTTGGTGTTAAAAGCCCAGCACATTAAAATTTGCAACAAACACTTCCTTTGCTATCATGATTCAGAAAAAACAATGCTCATATTCAACTTCCATTCTGGTTCGCTCGCTCTAATGTTTCCTCTCCCTGCAACCCTGCGACAATCATTACTGCAGGAGACACAAACCGCCATACTACAATCCTCTACTCCCCCCCCCACCTTGTGAACAAAACCTGCTAAGCCTCATTTTGGTCGGATTATTCGTAGCAATTGGTAATTTCGAAAAGGTTGTAAGAACGGGATGTCTGTGCCTTGTGTTTACCCTGCTGTTAAGCATCCCAACAATCATCACAAGTATTGTCATGTTTAATCAAGAAAATTGTCGCACACGGAATATTTATAAATTCGGGCAATGACATAGCTACTATAGCGAATTTCCGAATGTCCATTACTCTATAATAACAACCACTTAAGCAGTTCCAACAAGTTGTAGCGTCTAAAACGTCGAAATGAACCCTCTTCATATGTTATTTCTGCTTAATGAAAAAAGGTTGGATAAACTGAGAGATCGTTGCTCCGATAGCTTTCATTTTTAGCAGCTAGACCATAGCGAAAGGCAACATAGACCACACTCTCGATAAGCAGCTTTCCAACAGCTCACTTCTTTTTCCAGATCTGCAAAGGAAAAATGAATTTGCAGTTTTGATCTAGCAATTTATGAAAAGAGACTACTCCGGAGGTCAAACAGATGGATCTTCCTGCAATCATTCTACTACTTGGAATGGTAAGAAAGTCCTGAGCCGATTTTTCGAAAACTCCAGAACTTTCGCTTATTGATTGATACCTAGAACCTGCTACGTGATAGGTTATCGCTGTCGATCATACTTCTCCGCTGTGGGTATATATAGCCGGGTTGCCTTCTTTACCTTTAAATGATGTCGATTCCACAAGAGCACTTCGAGCGGACATCTTCATTGAATGGCGGCTGCGGCACAGGAGTAGTGGAAACCATCAACATCATCAGCATCGCACTGGGAAGGGACACCACTTCCATCATCGGTGTTCTGGTTCGCAGGATTCGAAGGAGGAGACACAGCTTCCGAAGGCAAGACAAGGTTGGGAAGCTCCAAACAGTGGAAGACTCCACCGCTCTCGGCGTTGTCGAAGAGGATCCGGAGGTTAGCACCCACAGCCTTGTGACAAGACTCGGGTGCACTCACTCCACAGTCCTCAGTCCCCTCCACGCCCTCGCCACGGAATGTGCTGACTCGATGGGTTCCTCATGTCTTGACCGATAGCACGCGGTTCAATCGGGTACCCATTTCTCGGTTTCTCCTTCTTTGTCCGCACCGATAGGCGTTTCTGGAAAGCTTGATAACGGGAGGTGTAAGTGGGGTTCTTTACGATCTAACAAGTACAGTGCCGTGTGGCTGCCTCGAGGTGAAGACCCCCCGACGCAAGCAAAATCGGCTCCCCAAAAGCTGTCTTCTTTGCTGCCTCAGGGATTGGCGAGGAATGTTGTATTATGAGCTGCTCTTGCAAGGGCATACCGTTACCGGCAGCATGTGCGCCAGTCAACTCCAGAAACTAGCGGACGCTGTTCGAGAAAAACGACCGAGACGAAGTTCTGCCCACTTATTGCACAATGACGCCAGGCCCCACAAAGCTAAAGAGGCCCGTGCAAAATTGGAGGAGCTGGTCTGGGACGCGGTTCCCCACCCACCCTATTTCCCTGACATTGCCCTCTCTGATGATGTATAGCGAGAGAAAATTAAAATCACAAATGATCCTTGTGAAGTGCGCCAGATCCTCAAGCGGTCCCGGGTGGTCCAATCGACTGTTTTTTTTTACTTCAAACACATTTGTTGTCATAACACGCCTCACGAACATTTGTTGTCATAACACGCCTCACGAATGTGCCATTTCTTAGAGCAGTCTTGGATGGGAAAACGTGTAATGTACAGAAGGGTTCTTTCTCCATCCTTTGCTGAGGCAGCTTATTGGTCAGGTGATTCGGCCCACATGTCCATCGAGAAAGAAGCCTCTAGGGTAAATGCGAGCAGACTCACCTCATTGCTGCACTCTAATCCTTTGTTGCCGGAAATGTGTTTGCCTATTCAACAATTTTTCCACGACCACTTTTTTCTTTGACAAGTATTTAACCAGTATCTGGCCCAGGGTTATAGTCAATACATTGTCCTTCAACAGGTAACTTGATGCCATTGTTCAAATTCCTGAGCTTTCCAAGCGAAAATGTCGAGGAAGTCCTTCTCATAAAATCCAAATCACCGATCTTCTCCTTTGGTTAGACAGTAATAGAAGTGTGTTTGTGCCAATTCTCCTGAACACACCATACACTATGTGTCCGACAGAGTGCTAATGAGGGTCAAACAAGCGTTGCTCAGATTTAAAAATTTTTAGGACCTCACCCTTTGATGGGTTTTCTTCTTCTTCTTCTCCTTAGCGTTAGTCCCGCGCTCGCAGGGTCCGCTGTTTCAGACGTCGCCCTTCGCTCTGTCCAGGGCATCTTCTACCGTGGCCGCGACCTCACCTAGGTCCTTCTTGATTACGTCTTTCCACCTTTTCTTCGGGGCTCCTCGCGGTCGCTTGCCTTGTACTTCGAAGTCCATTGCTGTTCTTATCGGATGGTCCTGTGGCCTCCTTGGCACATGCCCACACCATCGCAAACGCTGTTCTCGTTCGTACCTTTAGCTGGAAAGGGGCAGTCTGCATGACCGCTCTTAAGTCCTCGTTTCTAACCTTGCCCAGCCGCGTCCGGCCGCAAGCCATCTCGTACAGGCAAAATTGACAGGTCCTGAACTAGTTTCTGAGCTATTATATATTAAGTGAGATGAAATTGATAACGATGTTTAGAAAAAAGGAAGGGACTCCCCCTTTCGGTGGGTACCACCTTGTATTTTACGCCCACCATTGATGTATGGGCGTCACCCACGTGAAAAGAGGAGGTGGGTAGTGAGAAGTTATACAGTGTGCCCCAAAAATGTAGGTCTGCCCTATTTGTCGATCGATGTCTCTAAAAAAATGAGTGACTCTTTTCCAAATTTTGATCAGCATTACCTTAGGCGAGCTGTATTGATCTCTTT